TCATGTCGTCGATTCAGTTATGTTTCGTCGATTCACTGCCTTCCCATCGATTCAGTTTCAAGTTTAAACGATCCTGTCATAAATTCAACATCTACTTTCGTCAATTCAATTGTCAAACATTTCTCATCTATGGTGTATTAAAACCAATGCTGTCACTATTTTCGTCGATCGTGTAACTAATCTCGTCGATCGTCAAACTGTTTTCGTCGATCGTGTAACTATTCTCGTCGATCGTCTAATCTCGTCGATCGTGTAACTATTCTCATCGATCGTCTCATCGATCGATCGCCAGAGGGCGCTGCGGTAGCAACACGTGCTTCTGTCTGTCAATCACGCGGTAATTTTTAACTCGGCCAGCCATGGTCAGAGTTAAGCACAACTAGAAAATAATGTCCCTACAACCGAATATCTTTTAATTATTAACAACTAAAATTGAAATTGTTGAGAAAATGTTCTTATTTCACTAGCAATCATTTTGTTGTCTGCCATTTTGATAGTCATGTGATAGGCCAATGTGCTACCGCAGCGCCCTCTGGCGATCGATCGATGAGACGATCGACGAGAATAGACGATCGATGAGAATAGTTACACGATCGACGAGATTAGACGATCTATGAGAATAGTTACACGATCGACGAGATTAGTTGGACGATCGACGAGATTAGACGATCGACGAGAATAGTTACACGATCGACGAAAATAGTGACAGCATTGGTTTTAATACACCGTAGATGAGAAATGTTTGACAGTTGAATTGACGAAAGTAGATGTTGAATTTATGACAGGATCGTTTAAACTTGAAACTGAATCGATGGGAATGCAGTGAATCGACGAAACATAACTGAATCGACGACAGGATTTTTTGCCCTTTTGGCCGCCCATAGTTAGGCCAATAAACTTTTAGGCACTCCCGGTCCTTGCACATAGATTCGCGTTCACCACAATGGACAAAATACCAATGGCGATGAGCTCCCATAGGGTCAAGGATATTTCACACGGTCACGTGCGTAACAGGCGTAGTCGTACTATGAAGTCCGTTCTTCTCCGCCGAGGAGAAGACACGCGTTTAAAAGGAATCCGTTTGTAGGGTTTCGTTGTTTCAATTTCCACTGATTTCTTTACTCCGTGTTTGTAACTGAAAGACTTCTCATATGCTTTTAAAGTAAATGGATAAATCAAAACTGCGTCACACCACGGGGCTGTGGGGCTATTTGGAATATGGGACTTTTTAGCTAAGTGCTAGCTAGAGATTTGGTAGATAAGCATAGCTAGGTCCTATACCGATAGAGAGGTTTACTCATATCGGTACTTGTTTAGGCAACAGGGGGAAAAACTTACAACAGAAGTGTTCATTTTACCACAGTAATGTTGCTATAATGCCATCCGGTGACCAAATGTCAGTAGAGGAAAGAAGCGTAGAAGACCACTGTAGAATGCGTTTACGTTGACTAAGATTATTTTCAATAAAATCGTTTTAAAACGGGGCCCTAGCTATAGTATAGGCCATTAGGGAGGTATAGATATACTTCCACGTATAGACTTACCTAGGAGGTTCAAGGATTTTGCTATCTGGAAAGAAACCTCTCGTAGGAAATAAAACAATAAGATGATCCCCAGCAGCTTGATTAATCTCTTCATGTAGCGTAGGCGCAAGCAAAAGCTCCGAATTGTCATCGTTGTGAGTTTCTAAGGTGCATATGTAGGGGCCTAAGCCATGTAAGAGCGGGACACCTGTAGGCTAATTGCCAATTTAATCCGAATATCAAAGCATTCAAATAATCCTTTCCTTAACATAATACAACTGCGTTGTTCGTTGCTTTTTTTAAACTCGTGAAATACAATGGGATTTAGGTAAGTAGACCCTAAAGCCTACAGAAAGAGAGAGGAGGGGGATGTGAAATTGTCCTTTTGGCTGCAAATGGTCCCCTTTGAATCAAAGGTTGATCTAGATTTTATGCCAATTCTCAATCTCGGTCAACTAAGAAGGTAAAAAAAAACATGACTTTTTTTTTTTTTTTTTTGGAAAGATCAAGATCCTACTCCCGCATTTGACATTGCTGGCTACAAGTCTGTCTACTAGTATATTAATTAATTGAATTAATTATATGAATATTACTTAAGCCTCTGGGGTGCGAAATGGTACACTCCTTCTCTGGTCACGGAATCCATCAGACTTAACATTACCCCCTCGCAAGCAGTAGGCTATATGTAGAGTATAAATAATCCTCCCCGTTACTGACCTTGTAAGACCTTGTACAAATAACTTAATTTTTTTATTCTTGTTGGTCGTTTGGTGGTATTTGCCTGTGAACTCCTGTTGAATTTAGTTCACACTCGAACATAGAAATTATTTAATGCCACAACGAAAATGATCAGTAATGACTTTTGGATACATAAACGATAATTTTGGTCGTTTTTTTTTCTTTAATTTCAATTTCAGTAGGCCTATAACTTAAAAGTTACAGAAGATATGTTTTCATAGTTAATGCCCACTCAAAAGACTGCACATTTCGACTTTCGGTCTACTAAGATCTATATATAAAGTTCACAGGAGGAGAAGGGAGAGATTACGTTGAACGGAGGCTACATCATACCAAAATAATTGCCACTTTTTGCACTAGCGCATTATACATTTACTCAGATTCCTTGAGTTATTTATTTATTTATTTATTTATTTATTTATCATTATTATTATGATATTATTATTTTGGAAAACCTAAAGTATGATAACGCTATGTCTTCCTTCACTTTTTTACATTAAGTAGTTCACCTTAGCTTTATCATGTATGCTGTGACCCCATCCTTTGGTCATTTTACTGGATCGGTGACTTTGGGGGGGGGGGGGGGGGGGGGGGG